TCAGTGTCAGCCTGGTGTCTGCCAATTCGTCACTTCATTTCACTGGTTCTGTGCAGTGGAGTGGAGCAGAATCGGGGATGGAGAATTTGCTTCGCGCGAACTGGCTGCTGCCACCACCGGGCCCGATTGTCAGTACTGACTGAATGACTGACTGGTTGTGCTATTTTCTGCACTGAAAAGTGGTGATGATACAAACAACAAAGCTTGCACTGCAGCGGAACGCGAATTGTACGGCGCTTGTACGACGGCGGAGTGCACGGCTAGCCCCTTCTGTCTTCCTACTACTTTACTGTTCTTTCGCCTCTTTTCCCTTCATTTTCTCTCTTTCAGCTCCTGCTCTTAGTGTCTTAGTCTTCTTCGGTAACCTAATAGCCACTTTGCTGCCGTCCCCTCTCTCCTCTCTGCGATCGTCTAATATACGCCCGTTTGAATCATCTCTTACTGCTGCTGCCGCTGCTTTTGCTGCCAATCGCAACTTTTTATTTTCTTTTATTACGCTCTCAGTGCCCAGTGTTGCTGCTGCTGCTGCCGCTGCCGTGTGTTCTACTCTTCTAATTTCATGTTCCTTTTTCTCCCACTCTCACTTTTCCCATTAGATAAATGCAATTTCCCCTGTCAAAAAGCGAATTTTAGAAGCACTGCAAGCGAACTTTTTTTGTTGTTGCTGCTTCTTCTTCTGCCGTTTGATTGCTCTTCGATTCTTCTGACTACTCTTCTCTGCTCGGCAGCAGCACCTCAACACTCTTCGGGCATCAGAAGGAATCAACACTGGTGTTTGCACCCGTGTCACTTGCAATCACCGTCATCCGTCACTGGGTTGCCATCGTCTTCTTCGTTTGCAGCTCCGAGGACACCGCAGTAGTCTAGTCTGGGCATCTTCAAAAAAAAGTGGCTGCCTGTGTGGTGGTGTTCAACTCTCTCCTGTGTGATTGATTATTATCACTTCTGATAGTAGGGAGCTGCTGCTGTACAGTACTTTGGTAGTACTTTAGAAGCCAACGAAGAAGCTGACGAAGAAGAAGACGACGCCAGGAAGGAGCCCACAGCCAAACAGCAGTAGTACAGAGTCGCCAGTCGAACAACAGTCGCAGGATTCTCATCGGATCCACGGCGATGCTACGAAACACCACCAGCTCGCTGCTTTCCAGTAACAGTACGTACTACCTTTCTTCCTTCCTTTTCTTTCAATATCTCAGTAACGGAGATAGATTGCCAATAACTATAGTTAGCTAGCTTAGATATCCCTCTTCACTTCTTAACTGCGACACGACTAAGCTGCAACATGAGTTGCCTTTTTTCTTTTTCTTTCCCCACTTCTTACTTATTTCTCATCATTTCTACTTTTATTTCATCTCTAACATCATCATCATCTCATTCACCACCACCACCATCATCATCACCACTACCATCAACTAGAAAACGGCGAAATGCAGTGGGCCTTCTCGCAGGTGAAGGGCACACTGGAAGATGACTTTACCGAGGGTGTGTGTTTTGTTTTGTGACATTTTTTTCAATCGTCACGTCACTTCAATTCAACTGAATCTCTGACATCTTTTTTATCTTTTTTTTCTGGCAGCCGACCTAATCTCCTGCGTAGAGTTTAACTCTGATGGAAAGCTGCTCGCATGCGGCGACAAGGGCGGTCGCATTGTCATCTTTCAGCGTGCCAATGTAAGTCATTGAAGTTGTTTTTTGTTGTTTTTCAGCACCACTCAATCTCTAATCTCCACCTTTTGTGTTTGCCTTTTGCAGGGCGCTCGAAAGGGCTCCAACGAGTACGACCTCTACTGTACCTTTCAGTCGCACGAGGCGGAGTTCGACTACCTGAAGAGTCTGGAGATTGAGGAGAAGATCAACAAGATCAGCTGGCTGAACTCGGGCAAGAATGCCGCCCACTTCATGCTGACCACCAATGACAAGACCATCAAACTGTGGAAGCTCTCGGAGAAGGACCGGCAGATGGAGAAGCAGCTGCAGCTCTCCAATGGCGGCGGCGGCAGCATCATTGGCGGCAGCAGTGATACGAACAACTCGCTGGACGTCGACCTTGCCGGCGGCTCCTCTTCCACCTCCTCCTACGAGCTGGAGAGCTCGCTGAGGCTGCCGAAGTACATCTCCATCGACCCGATGGTGCAGCCCAGCCTCCGGCGGCAGTTCTCCAACGCTCACTCCTTTCATATCAACTCCATCAGCGTGAACAGCGACCAGGAGACGTACATTAGCGCCGATGAGTTGCGCATCAACCTCTGGAATCTGGAGGTCACTGATGAGAGCTTTGGTGAGTTGTAGTGGTGATTGTGGTGATTACTTTGGTTTCACTCTCTAACCTCATCTTTCAATTTCAATTTCTACCCCCTCAGTGATTGTCGATATCAAGCCGTCGAACATGGAGGAGCTGACGGAGGTGATCACCGCCGCCGAGTTTCACCCACAGCACTGCAACATCTTCGCCTACTCGACGAGCAAGGGCGCCGTGAAGCTGTGCGACATGCGGGCCGCCGCTCTCTGTGACCAGTATTCCAAGAGTAAGTGCAAGTTTTTGATCGACTGATCAAATAGATCTCTAATCAAATCTCTTCCCTCAAAAAACAGTCTACGAGGAGGTGGACGAGAACAGCTCCTCCTTCTTCTCCGAGCTCATCTCGCTGGTGTCTGATCTCAAGTTCACGCAGAACGGCCGCTACATGGTCACCCGCGACTACCTCACGGTGAAGGTCTGGGACCTGAACATGGACAAGAAGCCGGTGGAGACGTACTACGTGCACGAGTACCTGCGCAATAAGCTGTGCAGCCTCTACGAGAACGAGTACATCTTCGACAAGTTTGAGTGCTCCATCGGCAACAATGACAAGTAGGTTTTCAGGTGCTGGTGGTCACCGGCCACTGGTTGAACGGCCTCTTCTCACCACTACCACTACTACCTTTTTCTCCTTCTCTGCAGCTTCATCATGACGGGCTCGTACAATCTCTTCAAGATCATTGACCGCCAAAATCGTCGCGAGCAGATGTTTGAGGTGAACAAGGACGTCCTTCGCCAGCGGTACCTCAGGCCGCGAAAGGTATGATCAAACGACTGCTTTCACTGTCATCAAATGCTAACACACATGTTTACTTCTTCCCCTCCTCAGGTAACCACCATGTCGGAAAATCTGAAGAAGAAGACAAAGAAGGACGAGATCAGCGTGGACAGCATCGACCTGAACAAGCGCATCTTCCACACCGCCTGGCACCCGCAGGAGAACATCATCGCCGTCGGCTCCACAAAGAACCTGTACCTCTTCAATGGGTGCTAATCTTCTTTTCCCTCCCCAATCCTCCTCCCACCACCTCTTTTTAACTTATTATTACTGACTTCATCTCCTCCTCTCCCCCCCCTCCTTCTTCACATGAAGCCACATCGCCAGTTGTGAAGCTGCCGGGGCAGACAGCTGCACTTTGATTTTTTATGACTTTGATTGTCAACTCTTTCTTTCTCTATCTTACTCTCTTCTTTCTTTCTTTTCCGATGACAACACCGACTCGGCGATGACGGCGGCATTCACACACACGAACTATTTTATTTTTCTACTCTACTGAACGATGATCGATCCCTCCTTATTATTTTCTCTCTCTTCCTTAGGCGTGTGGTGGGTGTTTGCCGTCGTCGTCGTCTTTGTGGTTGTCGTCTTTCCTTTTTTTGTTTTTTGACAATGATGGATGACCAACTCTTTCTTGTACTGCATGTTGCACATAAAACACACAAGCACCACATACTTTCACAATACAAACACACATACACACACATAACTCAAGTCACTCTCTTCCTTCCTCCTCATCTTTCTTCCCTCTGAATGTGATGATACACTGAACTGTTGAACCTCCATTGTGAGCATCCACTTTGATTCACCAGTAATAAAGATCAGTTTTTTCTTATGTTTCGCAGCGTTCGCACACTTTGCTCTTGTTCTGAAAAACTTATTTTCGTGAATAAAAATTTGTTATGTTCAGTCGACAGACACTAGATGGCAGCAGGGGTTCTGCAAAGTTCATTTTCCTGGTTTTCTGAACACGAGAAAAATAAAATTCATGGACGATTTTTTGACGCCACTTTCAAGATGGCGACGACGGTGGCGTTCCTAGCGGACAACACCAAAAACTATCCGCTTTTAATGATTAATTCTGTCAATTTTTTAAATAATTGTTTCTTGGGCCTGGAGCGTCGCAGAAATCTCAAAGTTGCTTTAAATGAAAGCTAAAGACTTAACGCACAATCTACATGCAAAATAAATTAGCTTTGACAGGTATTTTGTTTTTGAATTTAACTTTAAAGTTTTTAATGCTACTTTTTCAACATCAAAACTTGTCAAAACTAATTTATTTTACATATACATTGTGCGCCAAGTCTTTAGCTTTCATTTAAAGCAAATTTGAGCTCTCTGCAACGTTCCAGGCCCGAGAAACGCCTGTTTGAAAAATTGACAGAATTTATTGCAAAAACTGGGAAGTTTCCGATGTTGTCCGCTAGGAACGCCACCGTCGACGCCATCTTGAAAGTGGCGTTAAAAAATCGCCCGTGAATTTTATTTTTCTCGTGTTCAGAATACTAAGAAAATAAAGTTTGTGAAACCCCTGTCGCCATCTGGCGGTCTTCAAATAAACATGACAATTTTAAT